ATGTCCACATGTCCATTCGAGTCTAGAATGTGCATTTCCGTGGCCATGCAGTGCAAGTAGCACTTGTATTTCTTATCAATGCTATCCATATCTATATCGGAGTTGTTTTGGCTCAGCAATGTCTCATACTCAGCTCTCTCGATATCGTTGTCGGCCAAACACTTTGTTACCATCTCATCCATTTCATCTTCAGGAAAACTCTGAGAGGTCAAAAATATTAATAAAATATTAGCATAATGAGAAATCGATTTCACCTGCACACAAACGAGTAAAAGGGCAAACGATATTGCAGCAAATGCATCCTTCGTGCGATTAAACATTGTATTTAGTTTTGATTTTATTGCGACGCTGAAACTGAGTAAACTGGAATCATACGAATTTTGCCGTGGGTTTTATAGCTGCTCATTAAATCTATTTTAAATGGGTTGTATATTCAAAAAGTTGTCTTATCCTGCTTACAATCAACACGCTCTGGTTTTAGTAATATGTTTATAATTATATCTAGAGCATCTGAGCTTAATTTCTGTTGATTCATGAATTCGTCGTGATCGCGTGTAACTTTCCAACTAACCAGATAAAATAAAAACAATATTATTTAATTTAATTAAAATTATAAATTTAGAATCAACCGCAACCAAATTCAAGCATCATTCAAATTGAGACTCTATAGACGTGCGGACAAGCTTTTAAGTCCACTTTTGACTAGCTGATCTAGCTGAAGCCTTTAAGTCCACTTTTGACTAGCTGAACAGAATTTATTTTAAGTTGACTTCACGGCTTTGTACCATATATACTTCTGCTAGATACAAAATTTGTTAGAATCTATGATTTTGCATTGAAAAAAAGTAAAGTAAAGAATATAAATTTTGAAAAATTTTTTTAAAATTAATTTTTATGTACACATAAATTTTTAAGCAATTAAAAATTTTACAAATTATATTTATAGTGTAGTGTTTATGATTATATTTAAATCTATAAGCAAAAATAAATATATCTTTAATTTCGCAAGCTTTATCATAATTTCGCCTCATTCTCTTTCAGGCAAGTCATATTTTATGCAACCATGTGAAATATAAGAAATCAGAGTAA